TTTTGTGTTACGCAAGTCTGTGGGAGTAATCATCGCTCTTTTGTGTCGATACAAAATCAGAATGCCTGAAAATAGTAAATTTAATGAAGTTAGCAGAAAGTGTTGTTTTTTCACTATAATAATAACGATAATTATAAGCATATTTTAACAAGACTAATATTGTACTTGAGAAAATACAAAATATATTTGAAATAAAGTAAAATATAACGTTGGACTATGTGTCTCGTTCTTTAAAGGCCGATGGTCGTCGCGCCGCGTTATGTACATAAAATTCTAACATACCCTGTGCGACGACCATCGTCATTTAAATTTGACAGTTCTTTATCAATTGGTGATGGTTAGAGAAAATATACATGTAGATGAACTTCACGTTTGTATTTTAATGAATTTGGAAATTTAAAAAATTGTTTATGAAATCATTTTGGACAAGTCATAAGGAATTGTTCTTTTTCTCTTCGATTCAGCGTTTTATAAACGTTTTTTAAATTCACAGGCACTGTTCGCGTGTACACTCCATAAGCCTAACTATTTAAATTATACCATCGAAGTTTTATTTTGTCTACATTCGGGAAGGTTCTTTTAAAATACAACATTTTATACTACTTTTAAAACGTGCATGGTTACGTTACATTCGACTCGCCCTGTCCTGAGCCGGCGACGACATACAAAACCAAAATAAGACAATATTTGTGACGTCTTCACCACATTCGTTTGAAACTAGAACGACAGGAATCTACGTAATTTAGGTCGCAATATCTTATATCTTACAATATCCGGCAATGAAGATAGTAGTATAATGGTAATGCCGCACCTAGTATCGGTCGGTTACCGCCTGTACGGGGGACTAACATTACGGACACTATTTCTTAGTAGAAACAGAATATACGCTTACATCGAAAGTAACACCATTGAATAAATACAGTGTATCATTTATATTTTTTATTATCAAAATTGTGATAATAACAATCCCGATTGACCACCACCCCCATATTCTGTTGTTATTGCTAGTACTGTCACACAAAGAAACTTCTATGAGTTCTCAGTATGAAGTGACACCCCCTGAATACACACCAATAACTCAAGATGGCGGAGTCAGAACTGGTAGCTGTCACCGCTGCGCCCAGGACGAGAAAGGTGGGATATATTTACTTTAAATGTGTATATTACAAGACAGATCGATAATCGATGATATACGATAGATATGACTTAAATTAACTCGATATGGCAAGCATACTTCAAATATATAAACCCATTGGTCAAGTTGAACAGGTGTTTATGACGGTGATCACAATGATACGATAAGTATTTTTAACGAAATATTCACTGGAATTCAACATTAACAACGTGCTATTATCAACAATACGGGTTAGTATTAGGGTATGTGTAACTGTTACTACTGTGACAACCGAATATCGCACTTTCACGTCGATTTCGTATAACCACGCCCCCTCACTGAAGTAAAAATGTCGGCGGTGGTAAATCCCATTGAAGGCGACAGATACACTAGTATGCAAACAAACAAGATTATTGTCAATACTACTGTATTATACTGTACAAGTTTTTGGCTGGCTGATTGCTACCATGGCTAACAGAGCGTGTACGATGCTGTGCTCAAAGTGAACTGCCGACACGTCAGACGAGCACTGTGCCGAAGGTGGGAGCAAGGAACTTCTATTGTGTCAATTCAACAAATCCGATCAGATCGGTGACGTGTGACTATCAAATTCCGTGTCCAAGTTTGAAATAAGCAGGACCTTGGCAGGACATTGTGTTACTTTTGTATCTGCTGTGAATACAATACATAACAGTTTGTCTGTAATTACGTTATAATTGGGATTATGTGTAGTTTACTGTACTGTATAAATATGCTTTGTCGTTGTTGTTGGTGCACATTAACCTTGAAATCACAAACCTTTGAGTAGAGTTCACAATGAGCTAACTCAGTAACTAGCACACACAGCATTTACTTGTAAGACTGCACACACTTAATGGAGCTGTAGTATTTCACAGATAATACCCTAGTATAATGGCTTATAACACTACTAGGCAGCTGTTTTATTAGGGTCATCATTGCCACTCAAGTATCACATACAAAATAAACATTCATAGCGTTTTCCATATTTAAAAAATTGATCCAGACATGCAGGCGCTGGTAAATTATTACTGTCAGATCAAGACATGTAGGCAATGGAAAACTATTCCCATAGGACCAAGTCTAGCAGACAATGGAAAACTATTCCTATCTGGCCAAGTCCAGCAGACAATGGAAAATTATTCCTATCTGATCCAGACTTGTAGACAATGGAAAACTATTCCCATTTGAATCAAACCTGTAGGCAATGAGGAATATTCCCATTTAAACAAGACCTGTGGGCAACGGAAAAATAACCTTATCTGATCCAGATCTGTGGGTAATGGAAAATATTCTCATTTGAATCAGTTTTGCAGGCAATGGACAACTATTCCAATTTGATCTAAAGCTGCAGACCATGGGAAAATATTCCCATCTGATCCAGGCATGTAGACAATGGAAAACTACTCCCATTTGATCCAAACCTGCAGGCAATTGGAGAATATTCCCATCTGATCCAGACCTGTAAGCAATGAAAAATTACTCCCATTTGATCTAGACCTGCAGGCAATGGAAAACTATTCCCATCTGATCCAGACCTATAAGCAATGGAAAACTACCCCCATCTGATCCAGACCTATAAGCAATGAAAAACTACCCCCATCTGATCCAGACCTGTAAGCAATGGAAAATTACCCCCATCTGTAGGCAATGGAAAACTATTCCCATTTGATCTAGACCTGCAGGCAATGGAAAACTATTCCCATCTGATCCAGACCTATAAGCAATGGAAAACTAACCCCTAACTAACCCCACCTGTAAGCAATGGAAAATTACTCCCATCTGATACAGACCTGTAGGCAATGGAAAATTACTCCCATCTGATACAGACCTGTAGGCAATGGAAAACTATTCCTATCTGATCCAGACTTGCATGTAATGGAAAACTATTCCCATTCTATCCAAACTTGCAGGCAATGGGAGAATATTCCAGACCTGTAGGCAATGAAAAACTATTTCAATTTGATCAGGACCTATAGGCAATGGAAAACTAACCCCATCTGATCTAGACCTGTAGGCAATGAAAAACTATTCCCATTTGATCTAGACCTGCAGGCAATGGAAAACTATTCCCATCTCATCCAGACCTGTAGGCAGTGGAAAACTATTCCCATCTCATCCAGATCTGTAGGCAGTGGAAAACTATTCCAATCTGATCCAGACCTGTAAGCAATGAAAAACTATTCCCATATGATCCAGACATGTAGGCAATGGAAAACTATTCCCATTTGATCTAGACCTGCAGGCAATGGAAAACTATTCCCATCTCATCCAGACCTGTAGGCAGTGGAAAACTATTCCAATCTGATCCAGACCTGTAAGCAATGAAAAACTATTCCCATATGATCCAGACATGTAGGCAATGGAAAACTGTTCCCATTTGATCTAGACCTGCAGGCAATGGAAACTATTCCCATCTGATCCAGACCTGTAAGCAGTGGAAAACTATTCTCATCTGGTCCAGGCATGTAGGCAATGAAATAATATTCCCATCTGGTCCAGGCATGTAGGCAATGGAAAACTATTCCCATATGATCCAGACCTGTAGGAAATTGAAAACTATTCCCATCTGATCCAAACCTGTAGGAAATTGAAAACTATTCCCATCTGATCCAGACCCGTAGGCAATGGAAAACTATTCTCATCTGGTCCAGACCCGTAGGCAATGGAAAACTATTCTCATCTGGTCCAGGCATGTAGGCAATGGAAAACTATTCCCATCTGATGTAGGCAATGGGAAACTATTCCCGTTTGATTCAGACCTGTGGTAATGGAAATTTATTCCTAGTTGGTCCACGCTTGGTCCAAGTATAAAATATTTCACCAGAGAAAACTAATTAATTATTATACAAAATATATTAATGATTAATAATTTTGTTATTAATATCTTTGTTTCCAAATAGTTGTTTATGAAATTGAGTAAAATGGTTTTTTTCAGCTAGTAATTCTATTGCAGACTACTACTACAGATTTTGTCTAAATTAATGACTGCCAAATGTCAGTTAATGTAGCAAATAAGGTAGTATATATACACTTTTCTGTTGTCATAGTAACTCAGAAGTTGGTAAATTTAAAAAAAAAAATCTGCAATGTGCACGTTTTTTGATAAAAACAAATTTACAACTGAAAAAACAAACATTCCTCATATATATTTTATGGAGCCAACCAAGAAAAGTAACATCACCATTCAACGCTTTACCCTGTTCCGTTTCTAACGGTATAGACTTTACACAATCCCCTATATACATGGACAAGTAAAGCAAACAACTGTAAATTTGTGAATTGGTAATTTAGAATATCTTCTCTAATTTTCCGTTCTATGTAGCATGCAACGATTGAACCGATACAGAATTTTATTTCGTACTTGGTTTGTTTTAGTTTGTATAAACAAAATTTAAAAAGAAAAGCACAATTTTTCCTATTTTCAGATTTCAGGCAATTCACTAGTACCAAATTATTCCCCTGAATCTTTCCCATGGAATTTATCAATTTTTGCATTTTTGCCTTGACATCAAAGAACTCTTGATATCTTGTGAAATTGTATTTTTCTGTTTGTGCCCTGCAAGGCGTCTGTTTTCTTCCCTTTTGAATGTGCATTTATTATTTTCATTGTAAACTGCCCAGGGACCATATACCATTGACTGTTAGATGTATGGGTTTTAGCGCTGACCACTCTATATGGAATTGAATGGCAATAACTCTGTGCTGTTAGTCTATTGTTATAAACCCAATTCATAGTGTACCATGAATGAAAGCACAATACAACCTAGCATCCTACCATCAACCCCACTCTTATCCAATGAATCATGCCTCACTTATTCCAAATACCTATATATCGGACAAAATGTCAGGCCAGGTCAACAGTGTCAGTGTCATATGCCTATGAATATGAATTTCTTAATTCCAGAGAAATTACTTTATATACACATAGCGTAAGTGAACTTGTTAATTTATAAGTTGTACACATAGTTGTTTTTAATATGATTACTTAAGGAAAAATACATGCTGATTAAGTGATTAATGACAGCCACCCCTTCACCACCCCCTCACCACCCCCAGCCCATATGTGACTTAACTAGTGACTTAATTAACTTCATCTCCTTGACTACCTGTATTCCACTCTTTATTCAATTCATAAGTTCTAGTACTTCGGATTGGAAGATATAGATTTTGTGTAATGTGTCTTTCTTTCAATTTCTGTTCAAGGCTTAAATACATTTTTTATATGTTATTATGTTGTATATAAGTTCATATAATTGACTACATGTACCTTGTAGTCACATGATACATAAGAGCCAATCATATTGAATCATTCTTCTCTGTAAATTACACCTTCAGCCAGCACAGTAAATCTGTTGACATCAGGTATTTTGAAACATGTAGTTAATATCTCTTTATCACCTCCTTTTGAAATGAGAGATGGTTTATCCCGTCATTGCTCCATTGTTACCATCACGTACTCATTGACTTGTGCAGTAATCAAGATGTCACGTTTCATTGAGCTTTATAAGATATCAAGATCACTCTGTATTACAGCAAAGTAGATTTTGTTCACTGGAAGTATTAATACACCTTCTAGTACAGTAGCATTATTGTAGTGAACATACCATACCGTCAACAAATCATGTCATTTGTACTTGGAGCTGTAGATACTCTGTGTGTGTAAAGCCATAATGCATTTCCATCATAGTTGTCCTATCCTATAATCATCATCCTATAAGAAAACAAGTAGTGGATGCTCCTAAAATAATAAAATATTTTTTTTCTCTTTGCTTTTAAATGCAAGCTTGTCATGCAGCAATCTAATGAAAGTCAGATTAAATTCCGTTGAAAAATTAAAATTCTGATTTTCTATTTTCTGCAGCCCGAACCAATTGTATATTATTTAAATGTCTTTTGTTTCACTAATATTAAAATTGACATTGTGCCTCTCAGCCTGGTAGATTCAAGGAGTTTATGCTTATATTAAGATAGCTTTAGCCTTTAAGTGTGTTACCTAGTG